GGGTATGGTTTTATTCTGGGTCTTAGATGCCTGATACCTGCTCCCATTGACACCTCGTGATCACACAGGGTGGTATGTTTCTCCCATGTGGGCTTTGTTGCTTCTCAGCTAATTGGCTACTTCTTTATCTTCAAGCCTTTAAGACCCCAGACATTTATCTTTTGATAGTCAGGCACCATCAACTTTCTTCACCACATTTGCTTATGCACCCATTTTGTCTTCAGGTGAGCATCACAGAATGCCGGATTGTTAGAACAAAGTGTTCTTGCGTTGAGGGAGTACTTGAATAGAGGCCCAATGTCCATCTGCAACCTTAATTCTTAACATATAGATATAAGTACATATTTCTATTCCCCTCTCAATTTTTATATATATGTTTACATATGTACATGCCTGTATTTAGGCTTCTATAATTTTCTTTTGCCTCCTGGTTCTTTCCTCTATTTCCTTTTTATTTCCCTCTTGTCCCACCATCATGTTCGGCCTTCATTTGGGTTTAATAATTCCTCACTGCTACATTGCCCTTGATTGAGCCCCACTAGGCATCCTACAACCTTCCTTCCACTGATTTTAGCTCATTTGTTGTTCCCTTGTCCCAGGGTTGGTACCGCCACCCTTCCTTTCTCCCACCTCCCCTTCTCCCCTATCTCCCTGGAACCTTTGGTCCCATTCTTTTCATCTCCAAATTGTTTATTCCGCCTATCTTATCTAGATAGACATGCAGATACATAAATACGTCCAAAAACCAGACAAAGCCAAATAAAACAACAAAGGAAGTCAAAACCAACAAAACAATAACAACAGCAAAAAGCAAGAACAAAATAATAACAAAAAGAAAGCCACTGACAAAAATGAAAAAGCCTATAAATAGTTCAAGGTCTGTTTGTTGGCCTTTACAAGTGTTTTCTTGTCGAGTCTGATGAGGTGCCACACTCTGTCTCCCAAGTCTAATTTTGGTATTTCCCTGGGGGGTTTCATCACTCTGCTCCCCCTGCTGCTCTGCTGCATGCCCTCAGTGCCTCGCCCCAGCGTGATGGGGCCAGACTGTGCACTATTCCTGCACTGTGTTTCCAGTGCTGTCCCCTGCAGCACCATGGTTCAGTGAGGGACACTGTGTCCCGTGGTGGGGCCAGCCCTACGGTCCTCCCTGCGCGTTGTCTGCTCTGAGCAGGAACATCGTCCATGGGGTTTGGTGGGCCAGAATGTCCTCTCCTCCCTCTCCATCCCTTTGCGTTTCTCCCGTGTTCTCTAATTCAATGCACCCCTCTCCCCAAGCTGTAGCCCCAGTGCTGTCCTCTCATGTGCATTCTTCGGGTGGGGGGGCGGGCACATAGTTGGGATTGGGGCCAGCCTCGCAGACCTCTCTATTGGTTTCCTGGTACATGCCGGTACAATGTATTCATGATCTAAAGAAGTAAAGCAACTTTCAAAAGGTTCTAGATCAATGTAGTAGTGAAACCAATACTAAAATCCAGTGTTTCTAGCAGCCTGCCTTTTCTGAATCTCTGTAGAAGTCATCATCTGTGACTCTAGCTGATGCTCAACTCTACTGTCTGTTTTCTCTCATACACATGATCCCCTTTCCTAACTAAATCAGTTGTCATCATTTAAATTTTCTCTCTCTTCTCTTTTTTGATCTTTCAGAAGCTTGTTTATCAGCTACTCCAGGTAAGTGCAAATTTTCAATACCTTAATGATAAAATGATAAAAGCAAAATTGGCATCAGAAGATTTTGTCTCCTAAATCATGTTTGCCTTCTAGAGCTCTTTTGAGGCTACCCTGGTCCAACTCTTGAACTTACCTACTAGAAGAAGCAGGGCATCCCTGATTTATCACTGTGTTTATGTACTTATTCATCCAGTCAACAAATGCTTTCTGAGCATCTGCTGTGGCCAAGCTCTGTCCATAGCACCAAGACAGCCGTGGACCCGAACGTCAAGATCTCTGCCTTCAATGATGATGCATCATCCCTTTTAAGCCCTCATAATATCCTAATTCATGAGTATTTGTGAACTGTAAGCCATACACAGGAACAATAGGAAGAAGGGTCCTGACATCAAGCATCCAAAGCATTGACCATCCAGCAAGTAGGTGTGGGGCCCATTACACAGTGGTCATCGGTATATGAATTTTAGACTGAGGTACCTTGGCAGTAATTCTTACAGATATACTCAGAAAATGTTTTATGGGACTTTACACTATGCACAAAAGCTACAGAAGTCAGGGGATAAGGTGTAATTCCTATGCTTAAAGAACAGATAATCTAGTATACAGAAGACATATTTGAGAGGCAGGCGATAAGGACCCTGCTGGGAATTTTTAAGTTGTATTTTTAAGATTTATCTTCACAAAGCTACTCAGAAGACAAAAAAAAAAAATCTCACCAGTTGGCTTTTCAAAATATCTTAGAAATAGTCTATTCCTGCTGGAGTGGTTATGTATGTGCTGCAATCCGCATGCTCGGTAGTTCAAAAGCACCAGCAGCTACTCGGGAGAAAGAATAAGCTTTCTACTCCTGTAAATAGTCTCAAGAACCCACAGAGCTCACTACGAGTCAGCATTGACTGGATAGCAGTGAGAGAGAGTAAGGGACTCTCTCAGTGGAGTCGCAGGGTGGCAAAAAAGGTTAAGTGGTTGACTACCAGCTAAAGATTGGTGGTTCAAACCCACCCAGAGTTGCCTCAGAAGTCAAGCCTGGCAATCTGCTTCTGGAAGGGCACAGCCTTGAACCCCCTAATGAACAGGTCTGCTCTTGCACATGGGGTTCCCGAGAGTCAAAACGCACTCCACACAACGAAGAATAACAGCAACTTTCCCCATGTATATCTTGGGCATCCAAACATGCCGACCAGGTGAACCTCTTCCCTTTCCAGAGGAAGTCTGCGCCTTGCTTATCACCAAAGTATTTCCTGAAGACTCTGGAGAGTTCAGGTGCATTGTAGAAAATGAGGCTGGGGCCGCTGTCTCCGCAGCGAGACTCTTCGTTTCCCCAGGTAATTAATTATTCTTCAGGGCTCAGCCCTGGGATAAGAGGAATATTCTGTTTCTATTTGGATCATAGACTAATTGTATTTTTTCCCCCCAGAAGAAAAAGTGGAGAAATCAGAGCATTTTCCAAAGTTAGCTATGGGGGAATTTTCTCCAAATCCGAATTCCTTTCTCTGGAGCAGTGAAAGCTACACAAAGAAGAGAAAGGAAGCCACTCACCCAATAAGCCCTGTGCCATCTATTCCTGAGCCACCCACTCACACTCAACAGGAGATCCAGGTCCGGAAGGGGGATTTCAGCACCAGCCATGAAAATTCTTCTGAGCAACAACCACAATGGTAAGTGGAAAGGGAGACCTACCATTCAAAAGTATTCTTGGTTCTGAAGATACGAAGTGAACCTTAAAAAGCCTACCTTCTGAGACAAACATTTTAACCTTGTCAGTTCTCCCTTGCCCTCCATCATGCATTTCAAAGCTGGACTAGAAAGGTAATTTATGTGTTTAGGTTGATATTTAACAATCTGATATTAAGACATTGGAAAATTATTAGTGTTGAAATGGCACAAGATTTCGAAGCTATATTATGGAATATTTTCCCCAAATAGAATTTAGTAAAGCATTAAAACATTTTGTGATACCAGTTTCTTCATAGTTTTAATATACAAATAAAACTATCCTTGTGTTTAGAAGGCACAGGTTAAAATGTAAAGATAATTCATTACAGGAACTTTCCAATGTTTAAAACAACATAATATACCTTCACCTCACTCACTCCCCCAAACATAAACTCAAACAAAAGTTTATTAAAAGGGAAAACTCATAAAACTTGGTGCTATTTTTAAATTTTTGCTCTGACAATATCTTACATTAAATATTTCACCAAATATTACATCTTTAGTAAAACAATAAATTAGCATTTTTGACTACTTAACTAATATAACTAAATGTAACCTCTGTTCATTAGAATCCTTTCTAAGAATTTCGTGGGTAATATTTAACCCTTGGATAATATTAGGAACCCTGGTGGCACTACGGGTTAAGGATTGGAATCCTAACTGCAAGTGTGGCACTTCAAATTCAACAGCCTCCCCCTGACCGAAAGATGAGGCTGTCTAGTTCTGTAAATATTTATAGTCTCAGAAACTGTAAGGAGCAGTTCTTACTGCCTTTGAGTTGATTCCAACTCACAGCTACCTCATGAGGCAGAACTGCTCCTTGGAGTTTCTGAGATTTTCTTTGAGATTGAAGGAGCAAACAGCTTCATCTTTCTTGAAGTGACTGGTGGGTTGGAACTGCTGACTTTGTGGTTAGTAGTTCCTTAGGCGCAGTTCTGCCCTGTCCTGTATAGGGTGGCTATGCATAAGAATCGACTCACCAGTGGTTTCTTCGTGTGTTTTTAGGTAGGCCTATGAAAAAAGAAAAATAAATCATGTTAGAAATGGGAGGAATCAGAGGTCATGTATTTTAAGCTTCTCATTCCACAAATGACTAAAATTGTAAGAGATTGACTCATATTGTTGGGAACTGTTTCCTCATACTTCCATGATCTGTGAATCTTTCTTACAATGAAGACAGTAAGGGGAAGAGTTTGGACTTCGGAGATTAACATATTCGTAATGATAACACTCAAGAAAGAGTATTTTCAGTCATCTCACATGAGTGTAAAAGTTGGGCATTGAATATGGAAGACCAAAGAAGAATCAAAGTTTTTGAATTATGGTGCTGGTGAAAGTATCGCTGACTGCCAAAAGAACAAACAAATTTGTTTTGGAAGAAGTCTAGCCAGAATGCTCCTTCGACGAGAGGATGGTGAAGCTGCCCCAATGTACTTGGACATACTGGCAGGAGGACGAGTGCCTGGAAAGGGGCATCAGTGATAACATGGAGAGGCGTGACACAGAGTCAGACCCTTCACCAGGTGGACTGACACAGTGGCTGCAGTGACGACTGTGACCACGGCACAGGACTGGGCAGTGTTTGGTTCTCTTGTGCGCAGGGTCGCTGATGGGTTGGAACTGACTTGACGGCACCTAACAGCCACCACCACCATGGCTGATTTAAAAAAATGCCTGTGAGGAGCAATAGTTAAGATTATGACTTATTCAGCCAACACTTACGAAGTACTTTATAAGTGTTTATCAGTCTCAGCGCTGGACTTGCCTTGAGAAGATAGCTATTATGGATACCTAAAATTTTTCTTTGTCAATACCTATAAGGTGACTGCATTCAGCACTGAGTGTTCGAGATTTGGAGTTTATAAAGTAGTATTTTTAATGGGAGAGTCCGATTTTAAGAAATAAAACCAGCTGTGGGAAAATCTATTGGGTAGAGTTCCATTAAAGTTAACATATTTTTATCAAGTATCTACTATGTGCTATACTATATGAGAAAGCTAAATATAATAGTCTCTCAGAAAAAAATGAACCTATTTGAGGAAATATACATAAATAACTTATTATATGAGTTCCTATCTCCCTTGAGTCAGAAACTTTATGATTTAGGTTAGTAAGTTAGGTATTATCTTCAGTTTTCAGCTAATTAGAATAAAGCCCAGAGATATTAAGCAACTTGTCTAAAGTTAATAGTAAGAATGGGCAGAGTAGACCCGCACGTCTCTAAAGTAGATAAGAAGATTAATGTGTCTAGAAAGTTGTAGACTATTAGCCAAATCAAATATTATCATTTTACCGTTTGACTCCAAATCCAGCGGAATCCATTATTTCTTGCTTAAGAAAAATATAAGATTGCATCAAGCACTAGACCAAATATTTCAAACCACAGGCCTTTGAGTTAAGTGCCTCTGAGTCAGTTTCAGCTCACAGCCACGTTACATACAACAGATAAAAACAGGCTCTGGTCCTGCGCCACCCTCACAATCATTGCTATGTTTGAGCCCATTAGTGCAGCCACTGTGTCCATACATCTTGTTAAGGGTCCTCCTCTTTACTGGTGACACTCTACTTCACCACGCTTGACGTCCTTCTATAGGGAATGGTCCCTTCTGACAGCTTGTCCAAAGTACATGAGATGAAGTCTCACCATCCTTGCTTGTAAGTGCTACAGTGAGACTCCCTCTCACTGTACGTCAAGGCAGAAATTCAATAATCACAAAGAATTATATGTAACCAAAAGTAAACTTTCTCCTGTCTTTAGTGCTTCCATCTTCTATATGACCTTTTCTTTTTTCTGTTGATAAAGCAGAAATGAGGGGTGATATGCATCTGATCTCTGACATTAGAAGAAATTCAAGCATCATTTTTATAGTGCCCTATATAGGTCACATAAAAAAACAGCAAGGGCTATAGAGGAAGAGATAGTAAAACAGCTATCCTGTTACCACTTGTGATAAGAAGGTATTCTCTTAATATGTTAACAGGAAAAGCTTCAGTTAGATAGTATATTGTCTGAGGCATTAGAATGATTCACCAAAGGATTTTATTGATAATTTAGAGACAGAGATGGAAAGAGTTGTCTCCGAGACAGGTTGGAATATCGTTTTCCCTGACATTTTAACCAATCTTTTCCTTTTAGGGCCCTATGATTTTTCTCAAAGAATCAACTACCACAATCAAAATGCTACATTGAGAAAACATAAAACATCACTCAAAAAAGCAAAACAAACACTACAGAGCGGGGGAAAAAAGATTTATGATATATTATTAAATATTGACTATTAACAACTTGGAACAGGATTGTAAAATAGAACCTATGTATCTTTCCTAAATCATTCCCTGGTTTCCTCATTGTAACAAAAAAAAAACACCTTAATCTTTTGGTTTGTTTGTCTGCTCTTTGCCTGGGGATTTAATTTTTTTAACAGTTTTATTGACATTTAATCCATATATCACACAATTCAATAGTTCAATCATATCGAGAAGACTTGTACAATCATTGCCACAGTCAATTTCAGAACATTTTCTCCCATGATTAAATCACCTTGAAAAATGAGTTGTGTAATCACCTTCAGTTCTAGCACTCATTCCCTCTTCTACCTTCATTGTTACTCCTGAGATCCCCTAAAACCTTAATCTTGCTGCTCCATGGAGCTATCATACTGTAACTGATGCTATGTTTTATAAAAGGGGATGGGAAGAGAGACAATTTTTACAGAATAGTAAATTGAACTAAAATCTGTTCTCAACTGTGGCACATTCTGAAACTAAGCTAGGCAAAGTTGAGGTTTCACAATTTGTCCTTTGGGGCCAGTGTCTCAAACTTTTAAGGAGGAAGGGACCTCAAATCGAACCTTTTCTCCTTCCCATCCTAAGGAAACCTGTTATCAGGAAAGCATCAAATATTAGTCACAAATACCAAAGGCAAAATGACTAGACTACTGCCTAGTTCACAGTAGGTGCTAAACGTGTTGGCTGGTCCTTTTTAGTTTTATTATGTCCTTTGCAGTTGCATTTTAAATCTGTAAAGAATTCTAATTTTGATTCAAAGGCTTTGTCCCTATTAATGGAGTTTGGAATATCAGTGAGCAGATGTGGAGGAATATTTTGAGGGACTCCTGAAATAAGACTTGGTTAGCAACACCTACTCACCCAGTCTAGGGTGCTTAGTCTCCTAAGTCATGGCAAAGTGCCCAGGAGGCAACTATCAAACCCATGAAGGAGGTGGGGAAAGTAGACATACTTCAAATAACAGAACCATACCAAAGTTAATTCTGCTCGCTAGGCCTGATCCACTCCACCACCTCTGTTGTTTGACGATTTCTTCCTTTCTTCTTTTTGCCTCACTACACATCAGGGGAACCGAAATACTAAGATCGCTTCCTAGGCAGAGAAAGAAAGAAAACTGTGTAACTGTTAGAGTCAAGGGAGACTGAGGAGCTTTGATTGTATACACTGCTTATTTGCTGGTTCTTTCTTAAATGCTTTGAAATTCCTTGAGAATAAAAGCACTGACTGAAGGGGGCATGTATGATGCAGATCCAGAAAAACTAACTTACATGAGACAAACCATGGATTATTGCTTCCCTGTCTTTCCTATGACATACTAGTATCAATATGACCTTGCTTCTCTGCCTTTGCCCACAACACACATTCCTTCTTGGAACAAACTGCTTGAATTCCAGCTGAGCCACTCTCATTTAGAAAGAGAAGGTGTGGGGGGGAACCCTTCAGATGAACGATTATCCATTACAAATCAATTTGGAGCTCATCCATCACTGGGCTTATCTCTGGAAGTCTTTCTAGATAGAGGAACTTCAGTCCCTCAAATACTGACAGTTCTTCTTTCAGTGCTTCTCTCTTCAACAGGGAAGATTCCCTGTATTTTCTTTATACTTTCTTCACTTCCCAATTTACTGCACTTTCCCCTACGTGAGGTTGCTAAAGCTCCTAGTCAAAACTCACGCCTAAAATAAAGAGGCCTGCGAGGGAAGCTAACATAATCCCACTCCTTAAATATCACCAGGACATCTGAGATATTGTTTAGATTGCGGACTCTTACTTTGACATGCCAGCATAGGTAGATGGACAGGCAAGCACATCAGATGTCACTGTTTGGCAGCTGATAAAAGTCAGTGGTGCTATAATACCAAGCACAGAGCCACTAGATTAGGCTGTGAGGGGAAGGGATGCCTCTTCTTTCCCTTCAGTAGTGGGTGAAACCCAGCTGGCACCCTCTGGAACTAAAGGTAAATGTCTGTCTTCTTTTCTTCCTACTATAGTTTGGGGTTTTGTTTTTGTTTTGTTACATTTCCAAATCAAAGGGGTGTATACAAAGGTGACCTTCAGAGATAAATAGGCTAGAAGCCACAACATTGTAATGGTATTATACCAAGATTTGAAAAGAGAATGAGCTATTCATCCCACTGAAACTGGAAATCATAGAAAGGGTAGAGGGAAAGGCAGTTGTGTGTCATTATGTTGAAATCATCATTTTTCCTTGAAAATGATCTGACTATAATGTGATGGCCTATGGCTTCAAAATATCCTCTTTTTGTAAGTCTGTGCAATATTAGAGATAGGAAAGAAATGCTAAGAATTTTTAGACAGCCAACTGAGTAGGACTTTATTTGTAAAACTTCCTAAAGCTATGTTATATTGTTTGGACTACAACTATATTGTCATATAGTGGAATCTATTATAGAATTGAATTTTGTGCTGTACTACAAGTTGCTTTTTAAAAGAAAAGCCTTTTAGGATTACCTTTGTAAATGCCTAGATCACATTTTAAAATGTTGAGATATGAATGAAATGACATTTTTAAAGTTTATGTGTTTATGAATGGCTTTCAGAAAAAGATCAGTAATTGTTCATTATAGAAGGCAGAAGCGAAATGTTCTATGTAATTGACATTCTGAATATATAAGGAACCTTCAAAGTTTGTGGGAAAATGAAACTGAAAGATAATAGAATCTTTCCATGAACTTTTTGAAGCTTCATTTATAAAGAAAAATTCTGCAAATAGTCACTACTTCATCAACTGTTTGCTTTTTACCATTTGAAATTACATTCCTCCTGAAAAGGAATGTAAGACCCAAACCCTGGATTCACTTCTGCAATGGAATGACTATAACGCACAGTTACAAAACTTGCCTGGAAGTACAGTCTCTTTCAGGAAAATATAGCTAAAATCACTTTCTAGATGCGTTTCCCCACAATCTAAAAGCTCACGTAGCTCATCGCTGCAATCTGGCTGAAGGTGCTTGTGTCCATAGACTCAAAGTTGAGGAAGACATGACTTGTTAAAGGGCTGCTACTTTTCATGAGAGTCCTTCTCTTGCCTATTGGAATTTTGCCTTTTCCTATAACTGCTTGTTTTTATTTAATTTGAAACGACATGCATGCCCTTAGGATGAAGTTTTTTGGTCTGTCTGGAAAAGTTTCAGTAACAATGATCTGGTCTTTGAGACAGGTACTTTAAGGCTTGATGAAAAAAAATTGATTAATTTTAACAGTTAAAATTTTAATTTATCCTCAAAATTTGTCTTGGTTTATATTGTGTAAAATAAATGAAGTTACTTTTTAACTGAAGTACTTGATATTTTGAATAGAGATGGGACCAATGTTATAGGACTAGTTTTTGCATGTATTGTCTATAGATAGTCCTGCTATTACCACACTATGCCATAGAGTAACCAGACACTAACACAACCTTAGTGGTTGATTTCAGTGGCAAACTTCACTGAAGGGATGACAGGGGTCCACTGTAGGGAAGTTAACTGAGAGAGAGTCAGCACCCTCCCTTTCTTGGTAAGCTGTAGGCAGCTTCAGAGTTGCCTAACTTCCTTCTCTACTTGCCAATTCAGAAAGTAAAAGAGGAGCTAAATAATTTAGTCTAAATAAATTAGTCTAAAATTCATACTAAATGGGTAAAGTAGAAAAAAATAATAATTTAGAGAGCATTAAGACTAATAACTAGGAAGTATAATATAAAAACTCCAGAAAAACGTATGTTGCTTTGGTCAGTAGCATACAAACTTACAAACACACACAGAGTCCTCACTTAACATTTATTCTGGTACTGCTGTCAATCTGTAGGCACGCTGGTGGTATAATGGGTTAAACACTGAGCTGCTAACGACAAGGTCAATGACTGGACTCACCAGCTGCTCCCCAGGAGAAAGACGAGGCTATCTCCTCCGTGAATATTTAAAGTCTCGGAAACCTAACGGGCAGTTCGACTTTGTCCTACTGGGCTGCTATGAGTTGGAGTAGACTCGGTGGCAGTGAGAATGGTCAGTCTGGAATTAACGTGCGCTAAAGAGGCAGTGGATTGTAGGATAGGAAAGGTCCCACTCAAAAGTTACAACACTAAATTCATTCTATTCTGTGCAATTGTGAAGTGAAAGAATAAATTGTACACTACAGCAATGCTCTTTACTGAAAAAGCATATTGCTTCCTTTGTTTTACCAAGAATTTAACACAGATCATCAAAACATAAGTTAATATATATGTCAGAAAGTAACTTGTTTTTATGAGCAATGAGAAAAATTCAGATAGACTCTAAACTGAAATGTTATTTGTTTAACTAGTTTGATCTAAAATTATAAAATGTTCTGTGGCTAATTAAGTTATGGTCTTTGGGCAAAAGTTCATCATGAGACCATGAAATTATCACACTGAACAATATCACAAAATTTCTTTTCATAACTACCTACCCAGAAAACTCAACTTTGCTTTCCTGCATCCTAAAGCCCTGGCCATGCTTTTTTAAGAATCTCACTGGGACAATGAGCCATTTTTCTTATTCTCAGGGAAAAGGTCATTTAAGGAAGGGGAAGTCTAGAAGCCAGGAAATTCCTACCTTGAGTCTACCTTAGCAGCACGTAAACTCCTAAAGATGTTAAATAGACCATGTTGTTTAAACAGGATGTGGCTCACATTAATCATTTTCTCCTTTTGAAGGAACAATATTCTTCAAGAGAAGCCCAATCTGCCGCAGCCAGAAGCAAAATATTCCCAGGATCTCAACAAGGAGGGGCAGAAAAAGATTGCTTCTGATTCCTTGCAACCTTCCATAATTCCAGGCTCCCAGCCCCAAATTCAGGACCCTGCCCCTCCAGGAGCAAATCACTATAGTAGTAACTTGCCTCCATCCAACATACACCAGCTAAACATGTTTAACTACGAACGTCCAAAACACTTCATCCAGTCCCAAAACCCATGCGGCTCCAGACTGCAGCCTCCAGGACCGGAGGCGTCCAGCTTTTCTAGCCAGACCAAACAGTCTTCCATCATCATCCAGCCCAGCCAATGTACAGAGAAAAGATTTTCTGCTTCCTCAACAGTGAGCTCGCACATCACCATGTCCTCCTCAGCTTTCCCTGCTTCTTCCCAGCAGCAAAGTGGCTCCAATCCAGGCCACAGGGCTGCAGCAGCCACCTATAACCAGTCCCCAGCCAGCTTCCTCAGCTCCGTACTGCCATCACAGCCTGATTACAGTAGCAGTAAAATACCTCCCACTGCAGACTCCAAGTAAGTGAGTTTCAATATATAGACCTTTGCATGTATTACAGTATATAATCTTCAACTATAGATCTGAGAGTTGGAGGTATGATGGAGTTCATCCGTCGCTATTTAAAAACATAATGTGACCTTAAGGTCTCATCTCACAGTCCTCCTTGAACCCTCTGAGGGTGTGGGCAGGAAAAGATTTGACGCACTATTCCAATATCTGGGCTGAGCTGAACCCCAATCACTTCCTTCTATACCCAATTATTTAGCCTATTATGTATTATCTTCAAAAAACAACAGACAAACAAACAAAGCAAGATTTTAACACACTCAAGAACAGTGAACTTTTCCCCTGTGGTTCTAAGCTAAGTTCTTCATACTGTAAATTCACTTCCTCTGGTTATGGACTCAGCCGAGTTGACGAACACCTGTCTGTTCTTTTTCAGATAGGATTTCCTCTCACATAAGTAGAGACTATTAAGTTTCTTCTGTCTTAGACTTTCTTATCCATTTCTTCCTCTGATCCACTTGTCTAAGGGAAAAACATCTAGGATTCAGTCATTAACGCATATGATTTTTTTCTATGATCAAAAGGAAACCTGAACAGAGGAAAACTGTGACCTTAAGGTTTCCTTTGGTAATTGAACCACACTATTCAAGTTGGTCACGCTGATGTTACGCAAGCATGTACTTAAAACTGTCCTAGGAGAACCTGATATGAAGGGTGTCGTAGTTGGGCTTTTTTTAACACTTGGACTGAATACTTTGTGCTTATGCAAACTTGGTGCTATCAATTTTCCTACTCCTTGGCTCAGCTAGAATAGCAAATCACAGGCACCTCACAAATTGTCTGATGAAAAGTTTTGTTGCAATATTACTGACAAGAGTCCCTAAAATTCTTGATGGATTCTTGGTCTTCTGTAGATGTCAATTTTTCTACAAATTTCTCTTGGTAACAACTCTAGAAACCTAAAAAACTAGCATTAAGATTTCAACTATAGCCACTCAACTTGCAAAGATGCCTTTTCAGTATTTTTTAAAATGAAAATCAAGAAAGCCAAAAGTGTTTGTCCAAATCTCTAGATATTAGGTCGAACCATTTAAAATGGTCAATTGACCTCCAAAAATGGCAATCTTATAGGTCTGACCTAAAATTTTTAAAGACTGCCTTACAGATTTTAGGGCCCGCTTTCTCCCTCTTCCCTTCCAAATTCCCATTATACCCGTTATTGCACATTAGAGATTTAACTATCAATAAGACGATCGAACAAATATTTGCTGAGCTTCCAACATGTGCCTAGCTCTGTGCACAGAGCTAAGAAGAAAGGAAGAAAACGTGCAGAGGTTAAGTTATGAAGCATAAGAGGTCCCCAAACCAGACATCAAAGATTTCGCTTTAGCTGTTCCATTTTCAGCAACTATAGATAACTTTTTTAATCTTCACACCGCCACTTGATACCCATTCCATGTTCAGCTGTACAGGGTGAGAAGCTCTGGCCCTTTGAACATTTGTGCACTACTCCCTCATTGTTACGATGGGCTTACCCCTGTCCTGTCTTCTAAAATAGTCTCTTCATTCTGATCTAGAGAAATTGGAGAGTTGAGTTAGCTTTTCTGCAGTAGGAAGCCCTTCCAACCCCACTGCCATGAAATTGATTCCAATTCATCTCAAACCCACCGGACAGAGTAGAACTGCCCCACAAGCTTTCTAAGGCTGTAAATCTTTGCGGAGACAGCCTGTCACAGCCTTCTGCTGGGCTCCAACCACGTATCTCTTGGTTGGCAGCTGAGAGCTTAACCCCTGCATCACCGGGACGCCTGAGAAAGTCCTTAGGCAAGTCTTTATTCAATGGATCAAACTGCAAACCATAAATTAGGAAAATCCTTTTAATTCTAATCATTCCTTTCTAAAAGCAAGTTGTATGGCACTCACTAAGTAGTGTGTCTGCTTAATGACTGTTGCCTGATCTGTAACAAAATTAAGGATTTGGATGATTAATGATAGAAAAAATAAAAGGTGCAAGTGTAATATTTGTTTATAATATGAGCAGGTATCAGGCACTAACACTTATGCCATCTAACCTAGTAATAATAAGGGTATTTAGTGAGTACAGGTGACTGGTAGCACTGTGCATTAATATGTTAACTGCACGGTCAGTGGTTCAAACCCACCAGCTGTTCGGTGGGGGGAAAATGAGGCTATCTGTTCCCATAAAAATTTAGTCTTAGAAACCCTATATAGAGTCACTATGAATTGAAATCAATTTTATAACAGATTTTTAGATCAGTAAATACCATGTCTAAAGTATATCATTGATTCTTGGGCTTGGTTTTGAAAATCCTTCAGAATTTTTCAGATGTATTCAGTAAATACCATGTCTAAAGTATATCATTGATTCTTGGGCTTGGTTTTGAAAATCCTTCAGAATTTTTCAGATGTATTACATTATGTCAGAAAACAAAATTATTTAATGCTAATTCATTTTAGCAAACACACGTGACCTTCATAAAGATCCGTTGGTGGGGGACGGTATCAGGCAAAACAAAAGCATAAAGGCTGTGATAACAGCAAGGAGCCCTGGGGGTGCCAATGGTAAGGCATGGGGCTGCTGCAATCTGATGGCTCCGACTGCCCACCTGCTTCAGAGGAGAAAGATGTGGCAGTTAGCGTCCAGTCCGGATTGACAGCTTGGAAGCCCGAGGGACAGTTCTACTCTGTCTCTAGGGTCATATGACTCAGAATCAACTTATTGACAACAGGTTTGGTTTTGGGTTTGGCAGACCTACAATGTCATGAGGGAAATGTGTATCATTAACTTTCAGAGTATTGTGAACACAGTAGGAAGAATTCATTCATTCATACTCAACATATAACCAAACCAATAGCCGTAGAGTTGATTCTGGCTCAAAGCAATCCTACAGGAAAAGAAGATGTAAGCCCTCCAGTTTCCAGGGCTATACATCTTTACAGAAGGAGACACCCTCATCTCTCTCCCAAGGAATGGCAAACTGCTGATCTTACAGTTATTAGGCCAATGTGTAATCCACTACACTACCAACTTATAGTATCTCCTATTACCTACGTGGTAGTGGGTACAAATGATGCCACGATGAATAATAAGACATCACTTTGCTTTTAGTACATTTACTATCTGGTAATTATTAACCAAGCCCCCAACACCAGCAAAAATTAATTGGCTCCACTCAGAGAAAATGCATTTCCACTTAGCACACAGGTTCAATGATCATGGAGACTATTTGGATAGAACATGTCAGGGAACAGATAAGGCTGCCTTGTCTGCACAACTGGCATATATACAGCCATAGCCATTGAGTCAATTCCAACTCAGAGCTATCCTGTGGAGCCGAGTAGACCTGCTCCTTGGGGTTTCTGAGATTGTAATTCTTTACAGAAGCAGACAGTCCTCAGAGTGGGCTCAATAGATTTGAACTGGCCACTGTGCAGCTCAGCACTTACCCCACTGCACCACTGGGGCTTCTTTGGACAATTGGAAAACATTTATGATAATAGTAAAATATTTGTTGAGGGAACTGTCCCAAGTTTCTTACATTAATCAGATTGATATAAACTAGTTTTCTTCAAAAAAGAAAGAACGACAAAAAACCCCACTGTACCCTAGCCCACTCGGACTCAGAGACTTGTGTAGGGTTTCCAAGACTGTATGTAACTCTTTATAGGAGCCCAGAGCCTCGTCTCTCCGTCCAAGATGGACTGATGATGGGTTTGAATTGCTGAGCTTGTAGTTAGCAATCCGACACTTGTCCCATAGCACCTTCAAGGCTCTAGAACGAGTGAGGTGAAAACTGATCAAAGCACTGTGAAAGGCGGCAGCTGCTAGCACATCTGAAAATATAAACCTCGTTAATTCCATCCCTGTGCTCCAGCAGAATTAAGAGAGGAACTCTGGGAAAAGCAAGGCCAGTTTAGAAGAAAATTAAAGAACAGAACTTGCATAAGGACTTGACCCAAACTCTCCAATTACTATTGAAATTTGCCTTCTTTTTGGTCCAAATCTCTTGTATGCAGCTTCCATTTCACTCTCCTTCCTCTTCTTCTTGTTCTTTTCTTTCCTTTAAAAATAATTCAGCAATGTTGAAGAAACTGTCCTTACTTTGAGTTATTTGTTATGTTGCACAATACTTGAATTTTCCAAAACATGAAATAGGAATTGGGAATTAATAGGTTAACCAGAGACTATATAATTAAAAAACCAAACCCACTGCCATGGAGTGGATTACAATAGCGACTCTATATGGACAGAATAGAATGGGTCCTTTGGATTTCTGAGACTTTAAAGCCTCATGGACGTAGAGAGCCTCCTCTTTCTCCCAGGGAGCAGTGTGCTAACCTGGCAGTTAGTAGCCCAATGTGTAACCAACCCGCTACACCACCAGGGCTCCTTGTGTCATTCCAAACAATTGGGTCTTCACTAAGTAACACTGATGTGGTAACAAATGTTTATTGATTAGCTCTGGAGGAAGGAGCCATGATTTGTGGCATTTACTGATTCTATATACACACACACACACACACACACACCAATACATGCCCTGCCACAGTCCATTCCAATCTATCCACGTAATATCAAACACACATACCCCCCGCCCCAATAAATGCCCTGCCACAGTCCATTTCAATCTATCCACGTAAATATCAAAGGGAGCTGGGAAGAGATGCTAAAAACCATCTCCATCCTATGTGCGCCAGCTCCAGCACACCTACAAATCAAATCTATGAATTTGTGTACAAGATTGAAAGCGCTCTGAAGTAAGCGATCACTCACATTCTTTATGGAATATTTCCAAACAGTGTAGTCCTTATGTCTAACCTAAATTCTTCCTCCTGCCACTTATTTCATCCGTGATAGGAGGGAAAAAACTGATAATCATTCATATAAAATCGTTCCTGGATGTTATTGGGGCAATTACTGTTTTTAATAATACTAGGAGTACTAAGAAACTGAAACCTATCTAACACTGATATACAAAACGAAGCCATTCTACTTTAGATACCACATCTTACTTTGAAAACATTTTTAAAAATCTTCTCTTTCTCCTTTGAAAGCTATCAACAACCCTCAGTTGGCCAACCTGTAAATGCCAAGCCATATCAAACTGCAAATTTTACTAAGTCCACACCAAGGACTCCTGACCATGAAATACAAGGATCAAAAGAAGCTCTGATTCAAGATTTGGAAAGAAAGCTGAAATGCAAGGACAGCCTTCTTCACAATGGAAACCAAGTGCGAAAGATACCTATTTTGTAAAAGATGCTAATTAAGATATAAAATCTACTCTAAATGAGCAAGTCCTGTCTCACAGATCTTTGGTCTCTATCAGTGTTTCCCAATGTGGGCAATACTGCCCCCTGGGGGGCACTGGAACGAGGGGGTGGCACTACAAAATCTGATACACTTTATCCTGGAATATGGGCTATATAGACTACAGATGCTTTTAAATTGGGGCGGGGAGGCACTGCATAATATTTTTCTGAAAAGGGGGTGGTAGACAAAGTCAGTTTGGGAGCCTATGGTCTATCTAGATTGGATATACAAAATGAAGAATATGATTATCAACAAGGAAGACGATTCTCTAAAAAAGAGGGAATATTTGGGTTCTATTCTGTGTTTCCCTACACGAAATCACCTCTTGGCTTTCAGTAGTAAAGAGTAAAAAATGAAACAAATCTTTCAGTAAAAAATGAAACAAATCTATCTGAATTAATTTTTTGGTTGTTGTTTTAAACATTTCCCTCTAGCTAAGTACTAATAAGAACTATCAGCCCAAAACAGTTTGTACTTTGGTATATAATATTGATAGAATGAAAATTATAGCTATCATTCTTATTATGTAAGAAGACCTTCCCGGTCTTCTTGATGGAAAATTATCTTTGAAAATCCCAACAGTACTATATGCCTTTAATCCAAATGCCATTAATCTAGCCTTTGCCAATTTTTTCTATAGATTAGTATTTCACAGCTTTTGATGGAAAATTAAGTCAAATATTTGGTGCTCATTTAATAACTTTCACCTCTGAATGTCAGAATAGGCCCTACTATATGTGGAGACAGAGTAGATTATAAAACCCAGAAAGACGAGGGAGAGAATTTCTCTTTACTTGGGACAGGCTGCTTTAAGACTGACTTTCCTAGCTGACCAAAAGTAAACCTTACTGTGGATGAGGGCAGTGGCCCTAGAACAAAAGGGAAATGCTGTATCACTAAGAAAAAACTCTTTAAAAACTACTACCTGTGGTTTAATAAATAGAATTAAACTTCTTTGGAGTTCTAATGCAGAGTGGTAGTTTTAAGGTCAAGTTGTAGAAAATAACTTTCACTAGCTCTCATGACTAACTCCTTAATGACTCATATCTTTAAAGCGGCTAACGTATGAGGAGAAGATGGCTCGCAGGTTGCTAGGACCACAGAACGCAGCTGCTGTATTTCAAGCTCAAAATGACAATGAAGCACAAGACTCACCACAGGTAAACAAAATGGTCTGTATTTAACTGGCACACTTTTCTTTTGTTCAGATTACTAAATGCTTATAAGGAGCATTTGAATTAAGTCAATCCCTTCTACGGAATATGTAGATTTTTAAAATTACTAAATTTGTCTGGTATTTTCTAATACTTAGATGTGAAATGTCAAAAAGTCAATCCGCCAGAGGCTGCCTTATTCACTATAAATCTGGACATTTAGGGCTCAGTACGACCAAGGATTCTTTCTTCTGTGTCTGGATTAAAAGGGAACTCATGAGTTTGGAATCCTTAACTAGACAGAAGACAGAATTCTAAACCAAAGTAATTGTAAACTTTTCTCATAAACTATCATTTCAACGTTTTAATATATACTTGTGGTACTGATGAAACATCCCATTGTTTTTCATGTTCCTGAACCCAAAACTGTTTTTTATTTTTTGAAATCTAATGAGTAATGCTTCTAAGAATGACTCTACATTTAACAAAACCATCCTTTCCAAGAAGGGATTAACTTCACACAGGGCACAAAGTGAATATCCCACAGGCTCGCGCCTACTCGAGTAAATTTTAATAAGCAAACTTAACCTCGAAGAGAAATGCACATGGAGAGAGAGATCAAAGTGTTATTGCTCTGTCTTTCTGTCTTATTTCTCTGCTTACCTTTCATGCCCTCCCAGAGGGATGAAGTTGAACATCCAAGGATTTCAAGTTTCCAAATATTGGAAACTCAAAAGTTTTTGTCTCTGTTAAAAAGGACCGTTGTTGTTAGGCGAGGCTGGAGCTCCTCCAACTCACAACCACCCTGTGTACAACAGAATAACACACTGGTGGTCCTGTGCCATCCTCATAATTATTGCACGGCTTGAGCTCATGGCTGCAACCACTGGGTCAATTCATGTCCGGGAAGGTCTTCTTTTTCCCTGGCCTATCCTTTTCCAAGAGTGATGATCCTCACTCTTCACAAGGTGTCCTGAGCATGTGAGACCAAGTCTCACCATCCTCACTTCTGGGGAGCAGTCTAGCTGCACTTCCTCCAAGACAGATGTGTTTGTTCTTCCGGCAGTCCATGGTGCTTTCCATATTCATTGCCCGTCGTTTCCCATCTTCCTTATTCATTGTCCAATTTTCAAACACAAATGAGGTAAGTGAAGATACATGGCTTCGGTCAGGTGATCTTAGTCCTAAAAATGACAGCTGTTCTCTTTAATGCATTAAAGAGGTCTTGTGCAGATTTGTCCAACATATGACGTGGTTTTTAGGCTGCTGCTTCCACGAGCATTTATTGTGGGTCCAAGTAAAATGAAATCTCCTTGAAGACATACATCTTTTCATTTATGTTTACCAGTCCAGTTGTGGGGATTTTTTTCCCTTCAAATTGAGTGGCAATCCATCAGTGTGTGCTTCAACCTATTCCCACTCTCAGCAAACAGGAGTTAATGAGCCTCCCTCCAATCCAGCTGCCATGTTCCTCTTCACACAGAGTCCAGCTTCTCGGATGACTTGCTCAGCATACGACAGAATAAGTATGGTGAAAGGGTACACCCCGATGGACACGTGTTCTGACTCTAAGCTATGCAGTAGTCCCTTGTACTGTGTGAACGACCGTCTCCTGGTCCATGGACATGCCCACAGAATTATGCTGAGCACGTTCTTTCCTTTTGGCCTTCCAACCAGGTCTTTGCACATTTCATTACAACGCTTTCCTTTGTCTTCCTGAGCTGCTTTTTGAAATTTCCTGTTATTTTATATCATTTCTTCAATTAATTTTAGCTATTTACATGTAAGAGCAAGTTTCAGAGTACCTTCTGACATCCACTTCGGTCTTTTCCTTTTTAACACTTCTTATACTTTATATTGTGGTGTTATGTGGGGGTTTCTGTTCCAGATCACTCATTTTGCACTCAACAACTTAAACTACTTATCAGATAAACAAAGCTTGACCTGCCCCCCCCCACTTGATTGCTCTCCACCCATTTACTCAATACCTGTCTGCCTCTAACCTGTTGCTTCACTTCCTCTCCCTTCCCCTGACACAAGCCAGCAAAGTCTATTTCTTTTGTTAGGAAAACCTTCGTTTCTTCCTTTATGACAGTGGTTTCATACATGTCCTTTTGTGATTGGCTAATTTCACTCAACACTACATTCTCCAGGTCTATCCAGGTGATACGATGCTTCACAGTTTCATAATCACTTTTCAGTGATGCATAGTATTCCATTATATGTATGTACCCAAGTTTATTTACCCATTCTTCTACTGATGGGTAGTTTGTTTCCATCTTCCTGCTATTGTGAACAGTGCTGGGATGAGCACAAGCGTGTGTGCTATGGCTCTCACTTCTTAAGGTATATATCCAGCAAAGAGATTTCTCTGTCATATGGAATTTATATTCTGCTTGTTGAGGTAGTGCTATGCATCACCACAAGCAGTGTATAAGGGTTTCAAGCTCTCTGCACCTTCTCTAGCATTTTTTATTTTCAGCTTTAATATCAACTATGGTGTGAGATGGTATCTCACTGATGTTTTTATTTGCATATCTTGAACTGCCAGTGACCTTTATTTGCTGGCTGCCTGGATAACTTCTTTGGTGAACTGAACTGTCAGTTTATGTCCTTTGCCTACTTTTAAACTGGGTTATTCAACTTGTTCTTGTTGGAGGTGTTATGATTTTCAATAGAGTTTAGACCTTAGATTGTAAAGTTACAACAGATTGTAAAGATTCTCTGTCCAATGTATCATTGCCCCAAATTTCCCCAATAAATAGGTTCTCTTTTCACTCCTTTTATGAAGCTTCTTATTTTCAAAAGGCCCATCTATTTTGTCGTCTGCTGTTTGTGTTTTTCATTAGGTTTGGTTGCATGTTTATGCCCTATATTAGGGGCTTGAGTCACTATTTTTCATTGATGATCTTTAGAATTCTCTCTCTTATGGAAAACGATTTTCCCATTCACGCAAGTTAATGCCTGTCTATCCTCTAGCTCAGTGGTTCTCAACCTTCCTAATGCGGGGACCCTTTAATACAGTTCCTTATGCTGTGGTGACTCCCAAGCATAAAATTATTTTCATTGCTACTTCATACCTGTAATTTTGCTACTGTTATGAATCATAATGTAGATATCTGATATGCTGGATGTATTTTCATTGTTACAAATTGAACATAATTAAAGCATGGTGATGAATCACAAAAACAATATGTAATTATATATTGTGAAATATTTATTTCAAATTATAAATAAATGAAATTTTGTCTTGAATTTGTAGCATGGCCAACATTCTTCACGCTGGTTACTCGTATGTGGGCGGATTTGCATGCGGGTGGACCTGCCTAGAGACAGATAGAGGAGCGGTGTCTCCATTCCTGAGACCATCAGAAATATGTGTTTTCCGATGGTCTTAGGCGACCCCTGGGAAAAGGTCATTTGACCCCAAAGGGGTTGTGACCCACAGGTTGAGAACCGCTGCTCTAGCTTATTGCTTTCTTTACCTTTCCTTCCTTCTCCTAACATCAACCATCAAAGTCTATTTCTTTTATTATAAAAACCTGTCTTGTTTTTCCTTTATAACAGTGGTTTCATACAATGCTTGTCTTTTTGTGAATGGTTAATTTCACATAACATGATGTTAAAGTCAGAGTTCTGGGATTTACATTTGAGTCTCTACCCCATCTTCAGTTCATTTGTGTGTGTGGGGTGAGTATGAGTCCTGTCTCATTCCTTTGAAAACAAAATCACTGGCTTTAATGGTTGGCATGCAAATTTAAATGACAGTTGTATTGACTGGTCTTCCTGGTAGGTGTATAGATATTATTCTACCACATAAATGGCACTTTAAAATAGAACTTGAAATATTCTTTTTGACAATGAATATAGCCATTCCTCTTGAATTTTTCATTTCTGGTATAGTAATCCATATGATTGTCTGACTCAAAAAGGCCAATGCCAGTCCAATTCAGCTCACTAAATACCCAGGATATGGTTCTTTATGCATTCCATTTCATTTTTGACAACTTCTAGTTTCTTAAATGTATGCTTTGTACATTCCGCATTCTGATTATTAGTGGATATTTCCAGTTGCTTCTTCTCATGTTGAGTCATGCCCCATCAGCCAAGAAAAATTTTACTTCATCCACGTGATTAAGGTCCATTCTGCTTTGAGGAGGCAGCTCTTCCCCAGTTGTATCTTTACCTACTGAGGGGAATGTTCTGCTGCTACTCAAAAGGTTTTCAGTAGCTAATCCCTCAGCTGTTCCACCTTCCTAGTCTGTTAAGTCTTGAAGTGCTGCTGAAACCGGTTCACCCTGGGTGACCCTGCATTTGAAATACTGGTGGCATGGCTATTAGCACCACAGCAACATGCCACTAGAGTTCAACAAACTGACAGACAAGGGATGGGTTAAATATGACTAGATTTACTAAAAATGGATCACAATCTATTCAAATAAGCAACTAGAAAATAAAACTCAAAACTCACTGCCATCGAGTTGATTGCAACTCATAGTGACCCTATAGGAAAAGGTAAAACTGTCCCTGGGGGTTTCCGAAACTGTAACTTATTTTTATTTAACAGTTTTATTGACATAATTTACATAGCGTATAATTCAAAAGTTTAAGCATTATAAAAGTGTACAATGATCACCATAATACATTTTAGAACATTTTCTTCATTATTAGTCCCCTGCATTCCCCAAGCCTCCCTTACCATAACCCTAAGGAACTATTAATCCAGTTATTCTCTCTATAGATTTACCTATCCTGGATTCATGTAATGAAAAGCATATTAAAAAACCCGACAACCATAACAAAATAAAACAGAACTTCAATGAAAAAAGCATGAAACATTAAAAAACTAGAACAAATTTCAAATGGGTTAAAAGGGAGATACAATGATAAAGTGTTAAATTTTAACCTACCTATGTCTGCATTAAGCCACATCCCAATGCACTCAGGCTAATAGCAACGCTACTCACATCCCTTGTCAATGGTGGGAGGAATTCTCTGGATGCTTAATCCATGCTGGGACTGCAAATGGATGTTTGGCTTCCACTGTCACCCACAGCCTTCTGCAAACCAGATGCTCAGAATTTAAGCTGTAATATACACTTCTCTCCTCCAGACTCAGATTTTATTCTTTACAGTCCTTGGATCACACAGGCTGGTGTGCTTCTTCCGTGTAGACTTAGCTAATATTTCACTTAGATGGCTGCTTGTTTTAAGACAAGACTTCAAGATCCAGATGCTATTCTTTCTTATAACTGGGCACCATGTGATTTCTTCACCACGATTTGCTTCAGTGATCTCTTCATGAGGGCATGTAAAGTGGAGAGCCACATCATTAGAACTAATTTTTCATAGATTGGGGTGACTGATTAAGTGAAAACTTAAAATCCATTCATTTATCTATGGTTTATACATGTCCCTGGTCCACTTGAGAGATATCGTTACTATTTTACTGGTGAACATTAGAAATCATCTTCATGGGGCATATGGTAATTCTACTGATAGTATCATTAATTTATCCAATGGCATAAATGTAAGAAACTGTTGAGAAAAGGGAAGTTTACATGCATGGGACAGTTTTCTATACTAAAATACTTGGATTGTTGACTTGTACAGATTCAACACTTAGTGACTGGACACTACGCAAACACTGAGAAATGGAACCAGGGCAAAACTTTCAAGAAAGCTCATTCACAAAGGCAGAACTACACCTGCTAGACCAGGACACGACATAAAAAGGCAAAGAGTAGGAACATCGCAAATATATGGTAGTCTTAAGTTGCCACTTATTAGGCATCCTCAAAGCAAGATATTTGAACCAAAGTCTAATGACTCCCAAATCCCTAATCCTGAGATAGCAGTCATCAGCTTCTTCTGACACTAAGGCATTCCAGCCTGAAGTCTAAGAGTATTTCTGGACTGTTCACCTGCGACAGTTGTTTAAGGTAAAGTCTACTTCACTTAGTGGGTTTCCTAATCAGATCATTCTGCTGTGGCCTTTGAAGGATATTGTGCACCTTGAAAGTTCTGGTTGTCTATAGCACTAGGTTCAGGCAAGACCATCCTCTCTTAGAGAGTAGAAAGCCCGATCTCTCTCCTGTGGAGTGGCTGGTGGCTTTGAACTGCTGACCTATCAGTTAGCAGCCCAACAAATAACTCACTATACCACCTAGCTCTTAGAAACTGGAAGTAGAACTTTAATCTCTTTTTTGGCTACTAATCAGCTCTAACTCGTTCTTTCAACTAACATATGAATATGAAACACCTACTGTGGACTTGGTTCTGGACTTAGTGTGGAAATTACAGCAAGAATAAGATAGAAATCTAAATTTATTGGTATAAATAGTCCAAAGCAATGCTCCACTGATGCTGGCTTATCTTTTAAAATACACAATTATATGATTCTAAGGGCCAAGCTGTATGGTTTTTCTCATTCATTTTCTTAATACCTTAAAAATGAAGGTGATGGTACCACAAAAAAAGATAGCAATATCACATCATTATGAAATTAGAAAAGATCAATCTTACATTTTTATGTACAATTTCAAATACTAAACCCCAATAATACAAAATGTCATCAAAGTATTGTACAGGTGAAATATAGCCTCCACTGTAGAAAAATGTAAGACTCCATTTAGATGAGTCTGAGTTTTCATTGGTTTAATTTTATTTTTTACCCAAAAAAGTAATCAATTTCTTTGATCAATGAACTGTCCAATTTTTTCCTTGAAATTTTGCTTCAATAGTTGCTGTTGATTCCATATCAGAATGACCTCCTATGTGCCATAGCAGAGCTATAGTCCACAGTTACCAATGGCTGCTTTATCAAAAGTACACTCCTAGACTCTTCTTCCAAAGGACTTCTGTGTAAACTTGAACCTCTAATCTTCTGGTTAGCAGCTGAGCACGCTAACCATTTGTACCCCTAGGGACTCCTAGACAGCTTTAAAGTTGGCAAAAATTGCTGTTACAGAGTTGTAAGAATTTTTGTTTTAAGATGACAAAATACACTAGCCAAATAGACATACAACAAAATAACTTATTTGTCCTCACATATTATGTGTTCCTATATAGCTTTACTTTAGGTGTTTGGGAGGCAGAGACTATATTTTCTATTTCTTCATATCTCCCACTGTTTAGTGAAATAAACAAAATAGGACTTGAATAAATATCCAATCAATTAATTTACTCCATAATGTTATTTTATTTATTATTTATTTATTGTTTTTTTACTCCATAATTTTCATTAATTCTTGATTTGATTCTCAAAAAATTTTTTCTGATGCTAAAAAATGTTTACCTAAACTCAATATGCCTTTATTAAGCAGGAAGTGATTAATATCATTTGCCAAAGGTTTTTTTTTTACTCTCCACATATTTTCCATGGCATCCATCAGTTTCATGCCGTGAGCTAAAAAGAGAAGTATTTTCCAGTCTAATATGTGTTTCCTGCTGTTGGTGCCCCTTCTGAGCAATAGACATAACACCTTGTGTCCCCTGCCAACACTAGTGACTCCATGTCTATTCCTGTTTTACTGAAGGACAATCTGTACTCTGTGCTCCCGTTTCATAGTCACCAGGGGACATGCAACCCTTTGTCATGAAATAGGCACCTGAAAAATGAACCACCCCAAGTCAAAGCCTAGATAATTTTCATAAAAAATCATTAGCTCTGAGACTTTCTTACTAGAATAAAATAATAGTGTACTGTAATTTTTTTAGTATACAGTATTTTAAATGGTTAAAAACTAACCACAGCTTATAAATGTAGCCCAAATATATCTTTCACTACATATATAAAAGTAGATCATAACATTGGGCCTCCACTCATGTACTCCCTCAATGCAAGAACACTTTGTTATATTAAACTGGCATTTCATGATGTTCACCTTCCCAACAC